CATATTTTTCTTAAATCCGTCTTCACATACTGCCTATCCAGACAAATGATACAGCAATCATGTAGAAAAGCTCCCCATACCAAGCATGCTCAGATAATATATGTTGAGTTGAACTGTGTCAAAAATTCAGAATCCTAAATAGCAACAAATGGTATTTTTCTCTACTTATCTATATATCCACACAAAAGAAAAATAATCAAATCTATATTAAAGGTAAAATCTAATGCCAGATTTGTAAGTTAGCCATTTAAATATTAATATCTTCAACCATCACTAACATATGTCAGCATGTTTAGGATGCCACCATTTTATTGTTGAGGGATACAAGACGGTTTAAGTTACATAACAGAGTATGGCTTATGTATCACTTCAGTGTTACTGTATTCAATCTATCTTCAAGTTAATCGACTTCCTCCTTTTCCTACAACTCAATCACAGGAAAAATATAGCTAATGTTCTGACTTTGGCTGTATTTCTAGATAATTACTGTAACAGTTCACAAAAGGCCCCCCAAAGTTGGATTAGGCAAAGGGCACTACACAGATATGGTCTGAATATGGCAAAGAATTGACCCAAGTAGTGTATGTCTAAAAAGCAAATATTGCTTTATATTATACTCTCATGATTTTGAATTAAATAACACACAAGAACAGCAAAAAGAAAAAAGAATAAAAACTTAATTAACTATTCTCCAGCTCTCACCCTGTGCTCTTTGATCCAGCGTTCCATGTCATTCTCCGTTAGGTAGTAGGCTTTAATATAGGTTTCCACAAATTCTTTATCAGGAATGGGTCGAATATCTGTTAGTTTTTCAAGTTTCATTAAAAACTGTTGAAAATCCAATTGCATCAAGGCACGACCCTCATTACTGCACTTCTTGACATTGGCATATCTAAGACACACAATAAAAATTAAAAAACATACATGATGAGAAGGTTAGAAAGAGAAACCTTTAGGTACTTGTACTTTTTTCTAACCCATATTTTGACAGATTCTCCAGAAATGAGAGGGTTTCAGAAAAAAAGTACATGAGCTTGACTCAGAAGGACTGGGTTCTGTTTGTGCCATCACTTTACCTATTTAGTTTAAAAAAAATATAGTCATTTTGCCTATCTGGGCCCATTTCCTTGTTTGCAAAGATGTGGAATAACTTCAAGGTTCTTTGTTGCTCTACAGACCATAGTTCTCTGCATTCGATGAACATAATCATCTGTAGGAAAGTTAAGCTGGTGCTCCTCTTAAGCTGGCTACCCAGAGTTATTTATAAAACTAAGCTTTGACTACTCCAAAGTAACCTTAATTTTATAGAACTGTTCACTCTTGTTTAATATTGTAACTATTTAATGCAAAAAAAAAAAAAAAATGAAATAATTCTCCCATGAATGCTTGGCAAACCTGAGAAATGTGTAAGTATATAAGCGTAGAAAGTAGATACATATTTTCCATGACAAAACAGTTTACAGACTTATTTCAGCATCCCACACTACTGAAACACTGTGCTTTAAGGTTGTCTAGCAGTATATACTAACGCTAACAGTACATTTTATTACTCCTAAGTCCATGTCTCATTTCCTTCAATCAGTCACACAGAACATGAAAATTCAATCTTAGGGAATGAGATACTTCCCCTAAGGAAATTTGTAAGAAAATTAAAGCTTATATCATTTAAAGCGACCAAGCTTTTTTTTAATAAAAAGTGTTCTACACAGAAATATATACTATTTACTATTCTACTTTATTAAACGAATTTATTAAAAACACTTTCATTTGTGATTATTGACACAGAACAATTTTATAATTTATAGCACTGTTGGTTTCAATACAGAGTGCCAAGACTGCTGTCAGTTTGTCACTGTTACCTTCCCACTTTCTAATACATTTTCTTTTATAACGAATGAGAACTAAAGAAAAATCAGATAAAAGATAATATGAAAATTCAATTAATGTGCAATTCTGGATTACTGTGCATGGTCTTTGAAATAGCTATTTGCTTTTCAGGGGTATTTTAAATGTACTACTGATTCCTATTTGTATTCTAGGTGTCATAGGGCAGAGTAAGCATGGTCCCTGAGTAAGTGGGAAAATTACTATTGATAGGTCTGTAAACTCAACACATGAAAGATTTATACAGTTTATAATGATATGATGATGATGATGAACTGTGATATTGAAATTATGAGAACTGACTTTCATCAGAACATCAGGAGTTCATATGCCTTCTCTGCCTTTAAAAACTGTGAACTTAGGCAAATTAACTTCACCTGTATCAGCTTCAGTTTTCTGAGCCTAGGTTTTCTCATTGATAAAAAAATAATAGTACCTATCAAAGAGAATTTGTTTTAGGATATGGTGATGTGATCCTATGAAATGTCTAGTTCAGTAAATAACATACAGTGCTCAAAAAAGTTAGGTATAATCATCATCATAACAATTGTATTATTAAATATTAGGTAAAAATAATACTTATTAGTTTAACTTTCAGATAACCATTAGATTCTGCATTCCTCATTCATCCACTGTCACCAGCAAGAAAAGAAAGCACAAAGACAGGCACAGTGGGTTTAACATTTCTTCTTTAGTTATATTCCAAACTTGTCTACTATTTATCATTATCTCTACCTATTCTCTCCATCCATTAGTGATATCTTACAATGTTATTCATAAAATACAATTTAACATTTAAGAAACAAGTAAAGCTTTCATGAAAAACGTACCCTTCCACAATAGTTCTATTAGCCAGTCGAATACAATGTTCCCAAAGTATATTAGACACAGGCAAGGGTATCCGAACTCTCTTAGAAACTTCACTTAGCCTCCTGTTAAACTGCTCAAATTCCTAAGGCAAAAAAAAAAAAAAAAATCATAGCTGTATGTGAATATCATTATAATGCCACATGCTTTCCCACAAAAGTGGGGGAAAAAACCCCAAAGATTTAGAAAGAGTCATAATCAAATCAAGTGAAACAAAAAGAGATAATACCAAAGATAACTTGGATTTAGTATGAAGGTTTTAAAAATACACACAGCGTTTTGAACAGATTATATAATACAGAGTACACTATATTTCATCTCAAAAGAAATGGGTGTCATTAACTGATTAAACAATGTTAACAATGTCCAAATGTTTCTATATCTCGGAATTTTCTATGGTTGTCAGTACGGATTAAAAGAGCAGAATTTGTCTTTAAAAATGTCTTCGAGAAACCCAGTTTTTAAAAAATGTTTTAATAAGTTTTCAACTCAGAATTATTTGTAATCTGTAGCTATACTCCTTAGAGAGCAATCTGATAAGTTATTTTCTTTACTAAACATTCTTTAAATTATTATACAGGCTGAGTATCCCTTATCCAAAATGCTTGGGACCAGAAGTGTTGTCAATCTTGGATTTGTTCAGATTTTGGTATGTATGTATTATACTTATTGGTTGAGCATCCCAACTCTAAAAATCCAAAATCTGAAATCTGAGATGCTCCAACCAGCAAGTCCTTTGAATGTCAAAAAGTTTCAGATTTTGGAGCATTTTGTATTTTGGATTTTCAAATTTGGTATGCTCAACCTGAATACCAAATAATTTGGAAGTTTCATGTTATAGCAGCAAATTTTTGGTACAATGTAAAAAATAAAACATAAAATATTTTCTATTACCTACAGAAGAACTTAACATTTTTATTATCTATTAACTTTATGAC